AAGAGCTGGATATAAAATTGCACAGCAACCTACTTTCCTTCTTATACTGGATAAGTTAACACTTTCATGAGAAAATATGCACAGTTCTCCACCTCAAAGGCTTCAGCAATATTCTAATGAAATTTGACAAGTATGGAGTCGGGGTCCTCTGTCTTTGCATATCCATAGATCAAAAAAGTAAGTTTATTTTCATTTGTAGCCATGGGCAGAATATCTTGATATTTTGCATTCATATTCTAGAATAGTGGAACAAAGCATGTGTTGAGTAGACACTTTCATTTTTGAGAATGAGTTCCTGATCTGTGAGGACAGGAGCCACAAATAAGGTTGCACAATAGCAGGTGACAAATTCAGAAGCCTTCACGTTTTCCCTAAAACAATAGTTCTCTTATCTTGTGTAAAACAAAATTCAATGGTAGATTCGAGGGGGAAAAATGGATTGAAGTTCTTAATGTTTGCATTTAATAGCCTATCCGAAATGCATATCACACATTTAACACAGAGCTATGACCATTGCCTTCAAATTATATTAAGAGCTTGTAGACTTAGATCTTTAGGTATTTTAGTAGTCATACATATATCAAATTGATTAAGCCACTAAAACATTTTATGTATGTGAACTAGATAAACTAAACAGTACTTTCTGATGAGTATATACTAGGACTTGAGCCATATTCAAATAGTTAAACATTAAACTACCAACTATTTGCTCAAACCCTACAAACATCTTCTTACTAGATAAAGACAGAAGTGTATCAAATGCATTTATCTTTCTTCCTAATGAATGAACAAAAACCCTGCTAGATCAAGGATGAATTACATTCTGTTTTAGGAATTACATTCCTGATATTAGGAAATGCTATATTCATAGTTGCCTTAGAAGTCTCTTAACTCCCCAAAGCAGTGGATAAACTAGCCTGAATAGTAACTTATTGAGAATAAGCAAGAAGAAAAGATCATACAATGGACAATCTATATTTTCTTAATTGTATAAAAGTTTGGAAATTACCATTCTAGCAAATCTAGCACAACCCTCTTAAATTATGGATTCACCATCAGTACATGCATAACAGAAATATTCCTGGAGATGAAAGACCTGGGCTCTAGGCAAACATCCTTTCTTGATTTACCACATGATCTGGGAAACTCCCTACATTGCTCCAAACTGCTTTTTCAAGAGTTAAAAAGGGATTAATTGCTGACTTGTGTATATAGCACACCTACTGTAATGTTCAAATGAGAAAGTGAAAATGCTTAAAAAACTATAAAATCAGCTTAGCCAAACAAATATCTTAGGAAGAAAAGAACTAGATTATATGCAGGGAACTATGAGTCCATTTAATCTTCAGTTTCCTCATTTATATAGGGTGTCCCAAAATTCACGCAAGATTTGAATTTTGCGTGAGCATTAACAACAACAACAAAAATAAATAAAAGCGTAATTTTACTTGATTTATTGAATCAGATTCTAATATCTGTTGCCCTTTTATTTCAATCCCTTCAATTTGATAAGCATTACCAAGTACCAATTACAGCCCAGGAGCAGGGACAATGAAGACCAATGAAGACCACGGCTTTGTGTATGTGCCAGAAAGCCATGGAGGCCATTTACCTGATGTGCTATTCCTACATAACCCTATACTGTATACTTTATGAATCAATAGAAAATTTACAATTTTTAATTATAAACCTGTGTTTTCTATCAAAATTACTTCTGGCGTGAATTTTGGGACACCATATAAATGCCTGATTTGGCCCAAAGATAAAGCAGAATTTAAAAAACTAAATCATTTTTTTTAAATATATTTTATTGATTTTTTTACAGAGAGAAAGGGAGAGAGATAGAGAGTTAGAAACATCGATGAGAGAGAAACATCGATCAGCTGCCTCCTGCACATCTCCCACCGGGGATGTGCCCGCAACCCAGGTACATGCCCCGACCGGAATCGAACCTGGGACCTTTCAGTCCGCAGGCCGACGCTCTATCCACTGAGCCAAACCGGTTTCGGCAAAACTAAATCATTTTTTAAAAAATCAAAATGAGCTGCATCTTATATGGCTCAGTCACACTATCAATATCAATACTGATTATTCCAAAGGTTTAGGAATAGTGAAGAATTTCAAACAACTTTCTCAAGGCATGAATATTAAGATAAAAGCCATTTTAAAAACTCAGGTGTCAATAATCTATATCTAATCTAATAGACAAACATGGTAATTGACCATACCTTCGCTACAACTCCCATTGGCTAATCAGTGAGATATGCAAATTAATCACCAACAAAGATGGCGGTTAATTTGCATACGTAGGCACGAAGCAGCGGAGCGAAGACTGAAGGTGGCTCTGGCCGGAGCAGCGAAGACTGAAGGCGGCTCCAGCCGGAGCGAAGGTCTGGGTCCCGGGTGCCGGAGGAAAACCAGTGCCAGCAGCCAGGGGAAGGGAAGGCCTATTGCATGAATCTTTTCGTGCAACAGGCCTCTAATATATATATAAAAGTCTAAGCGACTGGTCGGTAACTATGATATGCAATGACCACCAGGGGACAGATGCTCAATGCCAGAGCTGCCAAGCAACAGCAGTCATGCAGTGTGCCCTCTCGCACTACGGGACCCCTCGAGGTATATCGGACTGCCAGATTCAGCCTGATCCCCACAGGCCAGGCTGAGGGACCCCACCTGCCAGAGGGGCCCCGCTCATTCTGCAGACACCCTCCGAGCCCCTGTGCTGCCCCAGGTGCGGCCTGCTGGCGAGAAACTGTGGGAGGTTGGCTTCAGGGCATGTCCTGCCGTCTTGCCCAGTCCTGACTGCTAGCCACCTTCTAATTACTAATTAATTTACTTTCAGTGTGCACAGGGCCTCTAGTAGTTATATAAATGGGGTTAAGTTAAAGCTGACATAGATGTACAAAACAGATAAAATATGAGTAGACATTATATAGTTTTAATGAATCCACTTCCTTTATTGCAGTAACCTCTGTACAAAGCAGCAACTGCAATACTCAATGTTAAAACATTAGAAAAGCATGTGTGACAGTTATCATACAATATTATCAAAATATTACATTTTCAAACTTAGTAAACATCCACCAGAGCGCAAATCTTTAAATTATTTCCATAGTCTTTAAAAATATGTACTATCAGAAAGTATGTAAAAAGAATGTAAAAGAAAACCTAAAATACAAATGAAGTAATGTAACAAATAAATATCTGATTTAATTAACCATTAATAATCAGCGTAACACCACCATTCTCTCTAAACCCATTGAATTTTTACCTCTAGGAATAATGAATGCTCAAATGCCATTTGCATAATTATTTGTTTCCAAGTTACCACGAATGATTAGAACTAAAAAAAATAAAAAATGGCATTAAAATAATCAAATTCAGTATAAATAAAAGACTAGAATAGCTTTGACACTAGCTAGCATCTCTAAGAATTAATTATTGAATTTTATTAGAGCACTATATTAACCTTAAAAATTTTGACCTGGTGTCTAGTGTTAAGTAAAAGTAATGCACATTTTTAAAAAGTGAAAAGCTTCTTACATTATTTCACAGACAATATTACCCTCCCCCCATTATGCATATTTAGATATATTTTATGTACTTTATACACAATGTATGATGCATGACGTTTGGTTCCTGCAGTACAAATCACAATGATGTTTTCCTGAATGGGAAAAACTTGAAGAAAAAAAAAAATAAGTGTACCTGTGCACATTTAAAGATAGCAGCACTTAGTTCATGCCCTATTATCCATTTTAAAAATTCAAACATAAATAGTTTATTGACTAATCAGACATTTCTACCATCCTTACCCCCAAACACTATAAAACCTGCCATAAAAGCAACAATGTTGTGCATTATAACAGAGGAAAAAATATTTTGGAAAAAAAACAATTATTTCATTTTCTTAACATTCTGAATTCAAAATTATTATCAGATCTTCATTTTTATGTTAACTTAGTTCACACTTATGCAGCAAAAATACTGCACTGTTGACAACAATAATTTTATAATTTCTATCAAGATTTATTAAAACCTGCATAAGTTCTTCACCATTGAAACTTATACCAATGAACCCACAAACAGTATTTTAGATGAAATGTTCCACATTTTCTCTCTGAATGATAACTGTGTGAATTACATGCCCTTCAGATAATCACCTTTGTTCTCCAGGAAACCGGTCTCTTTCAATCTAATTTTGAACTTACATTTACTAAAACAAAAACCATTTTAATCTAATGATTCTTGATCATTTAAAATGCAAAAAAAAAAGCAACGTAAATGTCATTATATATACATATGCACACACACATACATATATGTAGATACAGATCCCTTGAAATGTTTTTAGGAAATCATTCCTTGAATAAAAACTGAAAAACTTTACATTAATAATTGAATATAAAGCTTTTAATAACAGTACATACGCACTGTCATATTTGTACTAGTAGACTATGATGTCAAACAGACATTTCAAAAGCACAATCTGGCAGTTTTTCTTAACACAAAAGTTTTAAAGTATTAAGAATGGATTAAATTTAAATGTTCAGAATAATCTGTTCAAACCTGAGTATATTAATTAAGACTAAATGTACTTGACATTTGAATGAATTAAGCCTAAAAACATTTCACTAAGAAACCAGTGGTCCATTTAACCATTTGATAAAACATTATTTTAATGACTTGTAAAGGATAGTATAGTGAAATTCCATGTAGTGTTTGAAATATTCTATGAAATGGCAACGATTTTCCTCCAGAAAAATTAATTAGCATTTCTTAAAAGTCCCTCAGATTTAAAGAAAACTCTAAATTAGGACAAATCTCTTTTAATAAATACAATTGATTTTGAGAATTTCTGTCAAAAGAATAACTATATAATTTGTCTAAAGAATGACTATGTAATTTTTCAACGGTATATAGAAGTACTAGATAAATCTCCAACCTTCCCTAACGTTTTAGTAATATTGAATGAAGATACAAATAAGAACCACTTAGAAGTTAAAAAAAAAAAAAAGATTTATTGGGCCTTTTCCTCCTAGGTCTACATTTATACATATTCATACAATCTAAACTTGGGGTCACTTTTTGGTTCCCATCCCCCTCTCCCCCCCCATTAACTTGCCCTAACTCTCACCTTTAATGTCTAACATAAACCTTTACAAAAATAATAGACAACATACAGTACTCAACACTAACTGGTCAATGGAAGAAAAGCAGTGTCCATTTTAAGGTAGAAGAGATTAGAAATAAAACTAATAGTTGAAGGCAAAGTTTGACATTCTATAAATTTATAAAAGAGGATATATGGATGAAATTTGGTTATTTTCAGAAGGCACCTCAAGGCTAAAGGCTTTTTGCATTTCTTTCATCAGTCAGAAAATAACATACTTTTATTGCTATTCAAGTAGCAAAGGAAAACTTTACTTCATGAGCTTTAGTCCAACAACAAGGAATCATCATTAAAATTGAGATACATTAATGACAAACTGAAGTCTCCATATACATGTCAATGGAACAACTTCCCTGTGTGCTTTCAAATTAATGAAATAGTGAAAGAAAAGTCACAGTTCGCCATTGTGATGTTAACGTGTCATTGAAGATTTCAGTTACTTCACTAGGCAATGCAGTACTGTCTGAAGGGCTGTCCACTGTGTAGAAAGTTTAAGAATAGAATGTAAGGACACTCTGATGATTCCCACGAACTAGGAGAATTGGTGGCAGGTCCTCAGACAAAGCTTCTAACCACGCCATGTAGAGAGCACTGGATACAGCACCTTTTCGTGCAACTGGGAGACTCCTGGTATCAAAAGAAGAAAGGAAATTCAGCAATGCATTTTAAGTTGAGAAGAATAAAATGTAATAAAAATTAGATTATGTCAAAATATAGTAACTAAAAGTTACTATAGTTACAGCAGATAATATTAAGTGTGGGGAAATTCTGCACATAGTATAGCAACTACTATACTACCATAACACTACTCCTATTTTTTTCAAGTTCTAACAAAATATGTTTAAAAATTTCTTCCCACGAATAGCATAACCCATTTGGTATCTTACATTAAGCCCTAAATTTCCCTTTCTTCAGTAAGTATAGAATTCTTTTAAGAGAAAATGATGTTTCCATCTAAATGTAAAAGTGGAAACTAAAATAGATAAATAAAATTCAAACATAATTATTTCTAGATACTCATTTTTATCTTCTTGTCTCTCTGTGCTTTCACTTCTATTTGTCGATAGTAGTAGTAGCGGCCAATTGCTCTCTAGTGTTTCTAGATTCTATGTTTATCATCTTCCATTACAGATATATGATTACTGGCAAAACTTAAAAATTTCTGATGTAATAATAAATGTTTATTGTTAATCAGAACCACAATCCTTTGGTGTCAACTTTATTCAACCATTTGCCATGTTTTTGAAGGCTTGAGCTTTTCTCACCCATTTAAGAATCCAGGTTACAGGACTGAGGGAATTTGTGTTCAAGTTAATATCTAGCTAACCTGGTTCAGTGGAAGGAAAGCCAGAGTTAGCTATTTTCACTGCCAGAACAATGTGTCTATATGTAAAGTCTTGTGTGTGGGAACTTGGGGAAGGATTCAGACATGAAACCATTTTAAAAATTTAATCCTCCAAGCAACTTTATTACAGTTAAACCTCATTTTTCTAAGTCTCCCATCTCAAACAATTTGGTTCTTGACCAAGTTGTTCACAGAAAAAATGTCTCAGTGGTAGAACCAAAATTCAGTTTTTGACCTGACAACCCTTTCAGCTGATACCTCAGCAAGACAAAAAGCGTCTCAAGGTAACAAAGGAGAGGATGCTTACGTTGCTGGTGAAATCAACATTAGCACAATTTTAAAACATAAAGAGGCCATCAAGAGTTGCTAATGCTGTGAAAGAAGCAATGATCACAGGTAATTGAAGAGGTAGAAAAACTGTTGTTGATTTGGATAAAGGAAAAGCAGTGAGCTAGTGACTGCATTTTGGAGGCAGTGATACATGAACAAGCAAAGATACAGCGTTTTGACCTGAAAGACACCTCTGTAACAAGTGCTGAAGGTGTTTGATTCCTTTAAGGCTAGTAGGGGGCTTGTTCGATAAATTTAAGGAAATAAGTTTATAGACTAAACAGTACAATAGACATGCATTGTATTTGGGGGTCTGGAATGGATTAATTTAATTTATATTATTTCTAATGGGGAAAAATGATTCTGTTTGTGAACAAATCGCTTCCAGCACTGCCTTCTGTAATGAATTAAGTTTGAGAACCAGGGTGCCTGGGGTCCAAATTTGAATTTCAGGCCATCATACCCCATATGGTTGATGGCAAAGTTAAACACAGTTAAAAGGTGGGAAAATTGTAAAATATACAATAATAAAAAATTACTTAGATTCATATAAGCTTAAGATTTTTCTTTCCTCCTACTTAATTTCTTCCCATGTGCTTAGAGCAAACTGTATTTTAAAGAGTTTGTTTTTCCTTCTTACAACTACTAGGTCATTATGAATGTTAAATAGGTACGTACTTGTATAGAAATTAGCCCTAATTGCATTATCATAAAAATTAATACCTAAGAAAATCTTAGTATTGGTATTACTTACATGACAATGATACTAGCTGTGCTTGAATGTTCCTTTAATAATTCATTTAACCTAATCTGCCGGTATGTCTGAAATGAAACAAGACAAAGTCATGCCTAGACCATTTGAAAATTGGAATCTATCATGGTTCATAAAACTATAAGTAGACAAAAAGAAACCAAAATCAATTTTGGTAAATAAAAGTCAGTTCCATAATTTTAAAAAATCATTCTTTACAAAGACCACATATAAATCCAACTTAAAGTAGATTTAATTTACACAACTGGGTCCTTCTGTAACAAGTTCTTGATACTTTTATGTCTTAGTATTTTTTAAAAATCACATGGAAGGTTAATGAAAAGTAAGCAGAAATAAAAAAGAATACCTTGGTCTTATAAAGTTCAAGTTCATTATCTGTTATTCGCCATGGTTCATCTTCTTTCATTTTATCTGCAATATCTTGTTCTTTATCATCTTCATGAAGTCTGTATGGCTCAATCATTTCATCAAAAGCTATAATACTTAAAAACAATAGAAAGAATACTGATAACCTTATTTTGAATTACGTAACAGTATGATCTTGAAACACAAAATTATAACTTAAGCAGTTATTATTTTCCATCTACTGTGCTCCCCTTTATACCCTTAACTACTCTGATCTTTCTCATCTATCCCTGCTCCTATGTCTAACTCCCCACCCCAATTGAAGTAAATTTTCACCACAGTGCCAGAATGTTCCCTTTGAGCAGTAAGTCAAATTGTGTTACTCCTTTACTCAAAACACTCAAAGGCTTTCCCTTTCCCAGTTCAAATACCACTAAAGAAAAGTAGTATAAGAAAAGGTACTAGAACATTTTGAAGGGAGGGAAAGGCAGATACTAAACATTTAAGTAGATGGAGAATTAATCTCTAGATCCAAAAATACTTAATAGGACAAAAGATAATTAAAAGAATATGAACAGCATTCTAATCCTCTATGAATGTGAAAAACATTTTTCAGTATTGCAATATTGTGATTTATGTAAGATATTTCGTCTTCATCTACAGTTCCTGGCTCACAGCTCCCCCAAACCCTTGGAATTTCCCAAGTGTTGAGAGTTATAAACGTTTTTTTTTTTAATTAATGAGATGATGTTTGGACCCAACCCAAGGGTGGGGCTGGTTGCCAGTTGAAACCACCTTGTGACTAGAGGTTTGGATCTTTCAGTTGTCTCCCCCTACAAACCTCCAGTGTCCCACAAAAAGGAAAGGGCTGGAGATTGAGTATAATTGCCAGTGACCAATGACTTAGTCAATCATGACTAATTTTTAACTAATTATGGAACTGATTTTTATTGTACCAAAAGTTCAATCAAGACTAAGTAATGAAGCTTCAGAAAAACTGGGAGGACAGCTCCTTGGTCCTTTCCCCTCTTTGTTGGAGACAGAATGCTTCCAGGTGCCACCTTGCTGAGCCCCAAGCTCCGCAAGGCCAGAAGCTCCTTTGTTGGGGACCTCACTAAATGTATCCCTTCATCTGATTGTTAATTTGTATCCTTTGTAATAAATTAGTAATCTAATGAGTAAATGGGTTTTCTTGAGTTCTGTGAGCCATTCTAGCAAACTGAAATTGGAGAGGGAAGTCATGTGAACCTCTGATTTATAGCTAGTCTGTCGGAAGTCTAGGTAACAACCTGTGCTTGTGGCTGGAATCTGAAGTGGAGGGCAGCCCAGCTGGTGTGGTTCAGTGGTTGAGTTTTGACCTATGAACCAAAAATCGTGGTTCAATTCCTGGTCAGGGCATATGCCCCGGGGTTACGGGCTCAATTTCCAGTGTGGGGAGTGCAGGAGGTAGCTGATCAATGATTCTCTCTCATCATTGATGTTTCTCTCTCCCTTCTTTTCTGAAATTAATAAAAACATTTAAAAAAAAATAATTAAGCGGAAGGCAGTTCTTGTGAGGCTGAGCCCTTTACCTGTGTAATTTGATTCTATCTTTGCGTAGATGGTGTCCTAATCGAGTTGAATTCTCGATACTCTGCTTCTGTCTGAGAATTGGTTGGTGTGGGAAGCCTCCACACATACATTGGAATTGAGTCCTTGAACAAACACCCTTTTCAAGTATGTCTCATACAAAGCTCCTGGTTTTTATTGTTTTATAACAGGAAACAAATCTCTCCCTGATTACAATCTTACACAGTATAATCTTACTATTTTTTTTAAATTAAAGTGGATTCTTTACACCAACTTCATCATTTATTCAACGTTTATTGGAGAATTAAAAAATTCTGTCCAGTGATATACATATGATAACAACCATAATATTACCATCTTCAGATACACTATTCCACAAATCTTTTCATTCTTGAGAATTGTAAATGCAACTATTATAGGCAAATTCTTAGACTTTTCTATTTTAGTAATAAAACTGTGTGAATAATTTCTATGTGGAGTAGGGACTGAGTAGTCATAATGAACGTGGGCATAAACAATGGAAATTTAAAGAACCATGTGGAATTTCTGTGGTATTAATGATTTCAGAAATTTCTTATAAAGCAGTAATTGAATTCTCTGAAAATGGAAGGCCTTTAGACTTACTCTGAAATCTGCTATAAGCATGCCAACTCTCAGTGCTAAATTTAAAAAGTTATGTAACTAACAGCAGGCCAAAAGGCCATATATTAGTTTAAGTTGAATGATCTGTTACTGGAGTGTCTGAGTAGGTTATCCAAAAGTATCAGAAATTTGTACAAAGTAATTTATTCAATAACTTACTTTTCTTTCTTTGGTTTAGTATTTATATCTCCTAGGACCATTATATCAGAGAAGTCTATCCGAAACTTGCTAAGCAAAGTAGCCATCCTAAAACAAAAATAAATAGCACTTAGACACATGAAGGCTGATATTTCTATTCTATTTAGAGCTGAATCTATGTATCTGAAAAGCATGATTTATAGGAAAAATATCTATCACATACAAAACAAACCCATCTGAATTAATTTCCATTGTACATTAACAAAGTGGATCTAAAAAATTCCTTGAGAAGAGACTTCTGTTATTTTACATTTTCTGAATCTCATCCAGTAATGGACAGTGAAAGACATTAATAATGAAATTTGAATACAACTAGTATTTTTAAATTTAATTTTAGTGGAATTATATTAAGTATAAGGATTTCAATAAAAACTAGTTGTTTAATTATTTTTGGATTATTCTTCCATCCATGTTGAATGCATATCTCAAAAGGTCCAAATATGACCTTTTGGACCAAACTGAAGTTATAACTGAGAGTAGGTTAAGTTCACAGTATTTGGGAGGGGTGGGGGATTGAACTTGGACAGGCATGGGATAGGAGCTCCAACAGCCTCTGGCTTTTCAGTAAATATCTTTTTGGAGGCAGAATTGGCAATGAAGCCTTGGTGGCAACAATAGAAAAGTTGAAACTTGTACAGTAAAAGCAATGAACAAAACAGGATTTTATTCTTAATGAGTTTTCTAAATTAATATACTAGAAAACAGATGAGAAACAGGTTTAACTTTTTTAGTTATTTCTAATACTGCTTGCATAATTCACTCTTTGAAATGAATAAACACTTAATTGAATCCTGGCATAAAATAAATATAACAGAAGCCCAGAATGTGATGAGTGGTATCAAATATATTGTGATTCAGGAAGAAAATGTAACAACTAGTGGGGGACAAGGGAGAAAATTAGGGAAGGTGTAATGAAGAAGGTGGCAACTGTCCTGAACTTTAAAGGATAGAGTATTTTAACTGATAAGTACAAAGTTATTAATAGTAGAGAGATGAGAGTAAGCAAAGGAGTGAAAGTCTGAAACCATCTGCATTTTTAAGGCAGGTACAGAAATGTAAACTGAAGTATAAGGCTATTGGGGGACTAAGAGATAACAATAGGGAATAGGAGGGTAGATTGTAAGGACTTTATTTGCCACATTTAGCATAGACCTTCTCTGTTATGTTACAGAGGAAAAGTTATGAAGTATTTTGGGCAGAGGAATCATGAGATCAAGCTCTGCTTTCCAAACCTGAAATTAGGAGCAATGTGCAAAATATATGCAAACAGGTCAGAGACACCACAGGCACTTAGAGAAGCACTGAACCCAGAACCAGAACTGTGACAACACAGACAGGGAGTGGATGACAAGGGCTGCACACTCTCCCCCGATTTAAAAAAAGAGCTGCTTTACACTTATTGCCATAAATGTTAATACTTTCTAAAATGTCAGTATATTAAAAAATATTACATATCAGTAAAACAATCTACAACTTAAACGTAAAGACTAACTTAAAATTAAAGAGGGTTTATTTGAGAATTTTCAGCTTCAGCATAGAATAGAGCAACATAACTGACATCTTATGGATTGCCTATGGATTATTCTATCAAATCTATATAGTAATAATAAAGTATTACAGATAAATGTCCTTCAATTTAAAGTAGACTTACGCTCTCCGGTCATGGTCTATTCTGTTTATTTTTCCACCAATGAATACTCTGATCTTACAATCTTTCCACTTTTTCTTGGTAGTCAGAAGGTAAGGTATCAATAAGGTCAAACCTGAATCATAAAAATAAATCATATACTAAGTGCTAATTTCTTAAATAAAAACTTTTAATTCAATTTCTTCTCTAAAAACATGTTTACAACAACTCTGTAAAACTAAATTTTTCTTTCTATCCTTCCTTGATTCAGTCATAAAGCCGTGAGGCAGGACTGAACTAAAGGGGAGACCCAGTGGAGTCAGGGCCCATGTGAGGAAGTCAGTGAAATGGGATTGTGGCCTGGCAGAGTTGGGAGATTAGTCCCCTACAGGAAGGGGGAGGGAGGAGAATATTTGCTGAAGCTAATGGGAGCAACATTTCTCACTAAAATGAGAAACAGAGGGAGAAGCTAGATTGAACCCTGCAGTGTTGGGCTGGAATTAGTTTTCAGCCTGTAAGTATACATACAGACACTTATATGTGTATTTCATAGATCTGTCCACTGAGAGGGCCTGGGAGCAATGACACCCTAATACCAACGAGCACATCTAATGACCCGTTTTTGGTTCCTCAATACCACTCTCCACTAAAAGTAATCAGGGCTTCTTAGATAAAGGGTGGTTCAACGGATGCTGTAGGGAAGTACAAACACTGAGCCTGGAACTCCTTACTGTATTAGAAAACAAAGAGTGGTTGGGACATGCCACATGGACATAGCAGTCAGACTAAACAGGAAATCTGGGACAATTTGAATATCAAAACAAATAATGAGAATGACAAATCATATCCCAGTGAATAAAATAGGAATCCATGGGAAGAAATAATAGGACTGGAAAATTATCATCTGGCAACCACAAACAAACCATAACAACAATAAATTCAGGCAGAAATATCAATGGATGCTAAAGATGGTGGTAACAGTTGCAGTAACAACGGCCTGTTTACATAGTCTCAAAGTAACTCCTCATCCCCCAAATGCCTGCAATTATAAAAGGGGAAAACAGTAACTCTTCAGGGTATAACCCTGGTGAAAACCACCTTACTCCGTAGTCAAAGCTAACTTCACCAGTGATATTACAAAGCAACATCATGTGCCATCTGATGAGATATACACAGAAGAGCACAGCATCACTTGTGATATTTCTGCTAAAAATACATAACTTGAAAATAATTATGGTGAAACATCAAATAGCACTCCAAATTAAGTGACATTCTATAAAATATTTGGTCTATACTATTTTTTTAAATATTAAGGTCATGAAGCTCAAAGAAAGACCTAGCAACTCCCAAAGTAAAGGACAATGAAGAGAGATGACAACTAAGTGCAACACCTGATTCCGAAATTAATCCTGTTGCTTTTGGGAATGTTGGCTAAACTGGAATGTGGTCTATGAGTAAGGAATACATGCCAATTTTTAGTACTATTCCCACAACTTCAGTAAATTTAAAACTGTTAAAAAAATGTATTAACAACCTTACCTCCATCATCAAAAAGCCACCAGACATCAATAGTATTCTTTCCTTGCTTTTTCTGAAACTGTGTACTAGCTTCAAGAAGCTTTTGGTCAGCTACATTTAAAGGCACAGCAGGGCCTTTGGATTCTAAAGGATTAAGCAGAAAAAGAAGATGTGAGGAAGCTAAATATTAAAGTCCCTTTTGCTGCATTCCTACAGTTTCCTAACTTTTACATATTTCGCAGATAGTAGTATATGGTATCAATCATAAGCTTTCAATTGTTTATAATTTAAACATACAATTAAGATGGCTAGAGATAAACACATCTTCACAATAGTTAAACTCATTTAGACCATCTTGCCTAATTTCCAATATTTTGAAGCATTCTGAATGAAAGAGAATCATAAATATCAATCAAGAAAATTATAACTGCTGGATTTTGATTTTTGAAAAGATGTTTTAGGCTAACTGGACAAATTAAGTTTATGCCTTTTCTTTTGTAGTCTAGTTTTTAAACCATTTAAAGCTCAAAAAAAATTTTTAAATAAAATGTTATATGAAAGACAGAAATGGAAGACATACCAATACAATCTTACAATTATCACAGTGAAACCTTAGTCTAAGGGAAAAAAAACTCTCATTTTTATCTAACATTTGTCCCATTAATATGTGATACCCAATTATAAAGCCACATAACCATCACATCTTTCTTTAAACCACAGAAAGATGGTGGGAACTCCCTGGAAGGGCACCCATATGCTGCAAGTCGAAAGAGCAATATACCAAGGGAGTTCCCATTTATAGTCCCAGTAAATTAAAAAAAAGAAATCAACACTGGCTCTGTGAATAAGCAAATGACTATTGTGAAACTCCTAGACCAAATTTTTAAAGCAAAAATCCATAGGAGGAAATCTGATCACGTTTGCAGAATGCCTATCATTCACTTTTCATGCTGCCACGATGTATGCAAACATGACGAATGATTTGCATGATGAAGTAATATGGCTACCAAACCACACTGCTCCATAACTCTCACCTCTATCTCCTTCTCATAAAATTCATGTACGATGACATGACTGTGTATCTCCCAAACGCAGCAGGACTGTGAGAAATATTGTAATTTTTGAAATGAAAAATATATTAGTATCAAAATTAAGGACTTGGCTGATACCACTGATGGTAAAGAATGCAGTGACACTGTGAATAAACCTATTTCAGTGTCTCTACTTATCATCTAAACCATGCAGTTAAAATTAAAAAATTAATACTGACTTTCAGGGTTTGAATATTTCAGAAATGCTATGATGACTTAAAAGAATTTATATTTGATATATCACCTTTTCCTGGGATGATTTAATGCTTTAATTAGACTAATGATAATTTTTCTAATCTGCATTTAATAAATAACTGTAACATCACCTCACCATGAAAATAAAAACTAAGATAAAAAAGAAAATAATAAATAAGAGTTAATAGTATGAAAAAGGGGTTAAAATAAAATGATGAAAAATGCCTGCCTTTTTTCAACAGTGGTTGAGTTGGAGTCTTGCCATCCTCTTCCTCATCTAGATTATGTTTAAAAAACACAAAATATAAGTTAATTGCCTTTATATTAATAAAATAATGAAAATGTAAATAGAGCACATTTATAAACAAAACATAGTACGAAGAAACAGTCTGAAAAATAATCAAGACTGAAGATCAATATTTTCTGCACTAAGTGTTCAGGATTTAAAAAAGCAAACATTTTAGACCTCTCCAATGGGGCTACTGATTAAACACCCCTAAAATTTTATTCCTCTACAGCTGCCCAAAACTTTAGCAGAATTTTTAAACTTTTAAACTTTTATGCTTGAAATCAGATGACAAGATGTTGAACTATGGCTAACAGAGTAGGAATATGGCATTAAAATATTGATGTTCCAGATAACACATAAACTTTAATCATTATGCAAATGACTGAAAAGTAATTTTGGAAACACTTAAGGGATATTTGGTATTTGTTCAAATCATTTGCCACTTGAAATATTAAGGAATTTGATCAGCCAGAGTCTCTTGGTTTATATAAAATGCCAGGTTATACAGGAGAGCAATTTTTTTTTTCAAATACATAAAGTATATATGCATATGCAAGTATGCCTGCATATACTTGTCCGTTTACATTTAAATACCTACAAATGTTTTCCTGGAGTTAACAGTTTTCCTAATCTCTCTCTCTTCTTCTTTTTTTTTTTTTTTTAAATATAAGCTTGCATTATTTGTTTAAGGCAGATAAAATTCCCGATTTGGTCAGGGAAGAGTACACTGCAGTGGGCTCTTGAGCCAGACTCCCAGCATTTCAGTATTACCACTGACCCCTTTCCTGGCTGTGACTTAACTCCTCACTTTCCTTAGTTGTAAAGAGGATGAACAATACCTACCTCTTAATGTTATTATATTGCAAATATTAATGCACTTAAGTCAGTGCTTAGCACAAAATAAAAGGGTGCTCTTTTTGTTCTTTTGAATACTCAATAATCAAGGCAGAAATATCAAATATCTACGACTACATAATAACCATACCAGAATGTTTATAATTCTGAAGACTTTTAAAACTGTATAAACTTTTCTATGATTTCTATGATAATTTTGAAAATAATTGAAAAATTAGGAAAATAAACACAAAAAATATTAATGCTATTTTTGAATGCTAATTTCTTATGCCTGTTATGGAACAAGAAACATTTCAATTATTTTAATTTCTTAGTATTAAATATTGTTCCTATAGATATTTGATATTATCTGTCTTTGAAGATAAAAAACATTTATAAATATAACTATGGACATTCTGTATTCATTTCAGAGAGCTCAGAAAATCAAGGAAATATTGACACTTTGATTTAAACTAAATTAAAATTATTTACATTTTTATAACAAGAAGATAAATAGAAATATACTGACCCAGTTTCCTACTTCATAAAAATAATGATTCATAAGATTATGACACATTAATGAGCTAATGTATGGATAACATCTATTAAATTGTGGAAGGCACAAAGTAAATGCTTGATAAATATTACTTCTTCCCCTTCCATCATAGTTTTATCTATTAATTTCTAACAGATTCTGTAAAGGAAAGGATTTGTTTTAGGCAAGAGAAAAGGACAAATGAAAAGTAAGAGAAAATGAAAGAATGAATACCATAAACTAAAAATAAATGCAGGAACATAAGAACAGTGCTGTCATAATCAGTTTATAGTTTTGAGATGAAAAAGAAAAAATTATAATCCCAGGCCAGCAAAGAACTGAAAGGGACAATGGGTCTCAACTAAGCTCTCAACTACCATTCTCTAAGCAAACAGATAAATTAAAAAGGAGGAAATAAATAAATGCATGCTTCTAAATCTAGAAATGATCAATTTTCTGAGATAGGAACTAGCCAATGTTATCAATTTCAGACAAAGAATGGCAATTATTTTACAGAAATAAAAAATATGATATGGTTTGATGATTTACAGTGCAGATTTTTCTTATTGCATGTCAACTGGGAATAGGACAGATGGAGATACTAAACTAAACAGAGGTAGGAGAGTGAGGGTGGGAGAGTAAGATTTGGAAGTCATCTCTCTTTCCTTCTCATAAACATTATGTATAGATTTGTGGATGAAATTGTCTGAAAGTCTCATGAAACCCGGAAATTGTTTTGTGGCTTAAGCACATAAGTTACCAGTGGTATTATGTCTGTAATTATGGCTGAATAGTTCAGCACCCAAATACAAATAGCTTGTTTCTTCAGAAAGACTAAATTAAGAAGTAAAATTGCACTTGATTTTTTATTCATTGTTTTACCTAAACTTCAGATGCAGAAGTAGGAATATTCTGAATATATCAACACATAAATAAAAGCCTTGGCATTTAAATACCTTGATTTACTAAAAAGAATAAAAAAGGTTAATCAATTACATAAACTTAATTTCTTTCAATATTATCACATGCTTATAATAGGTATATCACTCTAAAACAGTGGTTCTCAATTTTCCTAATGCCGTGACCCTTTAATACAGTTCCTCATGTGGTGACCCCAATTTCATTGTTACAAATTGAACATAATTAAAGCATAATGATTAATCACAAAAACAATATGTAATTATATATGTGGTGACCGATGGTCTTAGACGACTCCTGTGAAAAGGTCATTCTACCCCCAAAGGGGTCGCGACCCACAGGTTGAGAACTGCTGCTCTAAAATTATGTTTCTTTACAAGTTGAGATTTAACCAAGGCTTCAAATTAAAATGTTTTCTTTAAAGCAAGTATAAATAAAAACATACAAGAGCATATTAGTAGGTAATTAATTAGTATATTTTCTGTTCTGTGATCCACTTTAATGCCTTATAAATTAATTATTTTGTAGATAGTTTTTTTTGTCTAATGTTTTACATATGTCTCCCTCTTCCCCAATTTGCGCCCCCTCCCCCCAGCCATTCCCACTCCAGGCAAGCCCCCACCATCCCAGTGTCTGTGTCCATTGGTTATACCAGTGGTCGGCAAACTCATTAGTCAACAGAGCCAAATATCAACAGTACAATGATTTAAATTACTTTTGAGAGCCAAATTTTTTAAACTTAAACTATATAGGTAGGTAGGTACATTGTTATTAACTTAATTAGGGTACTCCTAAGGCTTAGGAAGAGCCACACTCAAGGGGCCAAAGAGCCGCAGTTTGCCGACCATGGGGTTATACTAATATGCATGCATACAAGTCCTTTGGTTGCTCTCTAACCTCCCCCCGCACCCCCTCGCAACTCATTTGTCTCTGGATCTATTCTTATTCATCTGTAGTTTTGAAAGCCATAAATTTTGAGCAACTAGAAATGAAAAGTAAAAATTTGAGGACAGGTTACCTTATTAGCTATGTTACGTAATAAAGCTATTTCTCTCCAAATTAAAACATTACCAGTAATGAAATTTCTTTAAATAAATTAAAGAATAAAAATTACCTTTATGTGTAACGGTTTTTTCACCAGATGGTTTGGAAGTATCTAATTCTGATTTCTTACTATACTCCATGCTTAGTACCACATCCTTGACACCAGGAGATTTCTCTTGTGACGACAATAATTCTTCTGTAGATATGAAAGTATTTAAAATATGATCTAAACCTTATTTTAAACATTAAGGAAAGCATGATGGTATAATATCAATTAAACGATCATTTCAAGCAAAGTTTATTATAAAATCCTATATAATAAAAGGGCAATATGCAAATTGACCCTAACAGCAGAACCACTGGGAATGACTGGTCACTGTGACACACACTGACCACCAGGGGGCAGACACTCAATGCAGGAGCTGCCCCCTGGTGGTCAGTGCTCTCCCACAGGGGGAGCTCTGCTCAGCCACAAGCCAGGCTGACGGCTGACGGCTGCCAGCACAGTGGTGGTGGCGGGAGCCTCTCCCGCCTCCTCAGCAGCGCTAAGGATGTCTGACTGCAGCTTAGGCCTGTCCCCGTTGGCAAGTGGATATCCCCTGAGAGCTGCCAGGCTGCCAGAAGGATGTCTGACTGCCAGCTTAGGCCCGTTCCCCCAGAAAGCGGGCCTAAGCCAGCATGTGGACATCCTCCGAGGGGTCCCTGACTGCAAAAGGGAACAGGCCAGATGAGGGACCTCTCCTCCTCCCCCCTCCCAACTGCACAAATTTTTGTGCATCAGGCCTCTAGTAAGTTTATAATAAGTGATTTCTGATTTAAACAAATGTGCTAATCTGTTTTGAAATGACTATTCACTTCAATATCTTGAGCCACAACTAAGTGTCAGACACCTGAATTAAGTGCTGGGGAATCAGTAATGAATGAGATTCATGAAACATAAGAATCTGGCAGACAAAAGAATAATGTATGGAAGGAAATGTGAGTCAACTCTACTCTCAAAGTCATTTACACAAGTGAAAAATGTAAAATGTGACAGATGTTCATATAAAATGTAAGAGGACAGACAACACTGAAAAATTACAGCCATAACTACAAAGCCAAACTAGGGAATAGAGTCCTTTACCAAACTCATTGTAAAAGTACCATTTCTTCATTTTCTGTTTTTTTGGGGAAGAGTTAGGAAATATTTAACTTCCACCATAAAAATATTTTCATGAAGATAAACATAATATGAATTTGATCATCTATCCATAATCCTCATCACTGATTTGTGCATTAAGAGAAATAACAGTAGAAACTATGTGAGCTTCTGTGTAGGCATTGCGAAAAGCTTCACAGGCCTTACCTCCTTTTTAATCTTCACAATGACACTATGAAGTAATTATGTTTTAACAGATGAGAAAACTGAGGCTTGGATGTCAATACATTTGCCCAGACTACAAAACTACCTAGAAAAAAATACTGGGATTTCTAAAGCAGATATGACTCTGTTCTTTAATCCTTGTGCTAAATCAAATCCCTGTCTTCAAATCTTAATGATGAATAACAAGGATTTCAAAACAATTTTCATGATTGTAAACACATAAAAATACTTTCAAGTTCCAATATTCAAAATCTCAGTAAATTATAGAATTATGTAATTTACTGGCCAAACTGTGATATTTTTGAATGAAAGGGGACACTACAAATAATTATGCAGAGTTAACCCTAAACCTAAATTACTCTCAGAGCAAGTGAGAATTAAAGTAGTATGTTGCAAGGCATACTCTAGATAGAGTAAGAAAGTGCATTTTCAGCAAGCCATACTTTTGTGTTATATGGATAAAGATCTTAAAGCATTCCTTTCGGGAATGCACAATATACTTAAAATGGTGGAGGGAGTGGGAAGAATAAAACAGTTTAAATTATGGTTAGAAACAGATGACAAAAGTTCATTATGTCTCTCAGCTATTTAGGCTTTAGTTAATTTGGATGATTTGGTTATTCAATTGATAATGGTAAAATATTAGGTATGCAAATTTTCTTAAGCTTTTAATATTTTTTTTAAATCATTAGAGGGTATGGAATTTTCCATAGTTTAAAAGTTTGCAAAAGCTAATATTATACCATAACTGGTTTCAATGTTCATTTTTTTAAAAATGGTTGGTTTGTTTTATAAATGCTTTGAAAATTATATTGTTGGAGAAGAGATTGGTGGGTGTCAGAGTTTAAGGATGGGGAGTGAGGAAGAGTATGGTGAAAGCTATATAGGGGTAGAAGGGAGATCTTTGTGGTGATGGAACAGTTCTGTATCTTGATTATGGTGCTGATTACATAAATCAAAATATGTGATATATACCACAAAGTACACATGTGTGTGCATGTATAGAACTACAGATATGTAAGATGTTACCATTGGGAGAAATTTGTAAAAATATCCTATATAATAAAACCCTAATATGCAAATCGACCGAACAGCAGAAGGGTGCACAAGACCTCTCTACATTTTTATAATTTCTTGTGTACCTATAATTATTTCAGAATAAAATGATTTAAAAATGATTTCTAGGGTCTTTTCCGGAGATTAGTTTTTCACTATTTAATGTGCCTCTATATATAAAGCATGACTTTCATAAACATGATCATGTCTAACAATTTCGCACTCATTAATTTTGTTTTTCTCCAACAATTTTATTTATTACTAGAGGCCAGTGCATGAAATTTATGCACTGGTAGGGTCCCTAGCGGCTGCTGGCTGCTGGCCAGGTACTCCCTCCCATCCCCCGGCCGCTTGCCGCCACTGCTGGCCAGGGCCTTCCTTCCTTCCCCCAGCTTGCCCACCCACTGGTCAAACTCCCGGAAGAACTCTGGTCAAGGGGACTATTTGCATAGTATGCTTTTATTATATAGGATACTAGAGGTCCGGTGCATGACATCTGTGCACTAAGGAGGAGGGAGGGATGTCCCTCAGCCTGGGAGCGGGCCTAAGCCGACAGTAGGACATCCCTCGAAGGGTCCTTAGCGCTACTGCGGAGGCGGGAGAGGCTCCTGCCACTGCCACTGCACTCACCGTGAGCCCGAATCTGGCTGAGTGGCACTCCCCTTGGAGTGCACTGACCACCAGGGGGTAGCTCCTGCATTGAACGTCTGCCCCCTGGTAGTCAATGTGTGTCATAGCAATGGGTTGTTCTGCCATTTGGGCGATTTACATATTAGGGTTTTATTATATAGGACTAGAGGCCCGGTGCACAAAAATTTGTGCACTCGGGGGGAAGGGGGGTCCCTCAGCCTGGCCTGTGCCCTCTTGCAGTCTGAGACACCTCAGGGGATGACCACCTGCTGGCTTAGGCCTGTTCCCTGGGGGACTGGTCCTAAGCTGGCAATCAGACATCCCTCTGGCTGCCTGGCAGCCCTAGG